TTAGGTGGTAAAGGATGAGAGCCCTCTTCCCCAACTCATCTCCCAGAATGCTGGCAGCTCGGCTTGTATGTGCCCAGGCAGGAGATTGGCAGAGTGATATCTGTGGAAATGAGCATGACAGAAACGATGTTTGGAAACCCCGGAAAAACAGAATGGTCCTCATCCAATTAGTCAACAAGTTCCTCCTTCTCCCCTACTCCCCCCAACCAAATACAGAATTCCCCTAAAAAGCTCTTCAAGCCTCACTCTTTAATATAAGCAGACAGGCTAAGGGCAAATATTAGCACAGCCTCTAATAAGAGACCAAAGTACACAGAAAAAAGATGAAGCCAGGAATATAAGCGAGCTCTCAAAGGCTATTTATGGCTTTTTTTTTTTTTCTTGGAGTTAAAAGAAATCTGGGAAGAACAGGATGCTATTTTAAAAACATTTTTTTAAAGAACACTTGGGACAAAACCCAATAATCTCTTCAAAACTTAAAACTAGAATGATAGAATTAAAAATTTCCATAGCAAGTTTGGAAGATAAAATGAAGAGTTCTCATAGAAAATAGGACTGAAAATTCCAATATCAAAAAAGTAATAAAATATTAGAAGTTTGATTGACCCAGAGGCATATATCCAACTAAAAATAATTATGAAAAGAAAAATGAATAGAGCAGAGGAACTTATTTTAAACAGTGCTAGAAAACATCACTGAACTGAAAGAACAGTTTCCAGATGGAAAAGGCCTATCATGTTGTTAGTCCAATGAATGAAAAGACTCACACGTAGAATTTTAGAACACCAAGGAGAGACACTTCTAAAAACTTTAACAACCAAAAAAAATTCAATATACAAGATCAAAATATAGATGTCAGAATGGCCTCACACTCCTCAAAAGCAAGACTCAAAACCAGGTTCACTATGTTTTCAAACACTGAGATTTCTAGTCTAGAATTCTCTAGCATGCCAAAATTATCAGCCCATCCTTTGTGTATAATAAAAGCAATTTCACATGTCCAAGGTCATAAAACTTTTATTTCCCATGCAACATTTCTCAGGATTTATTAATACAAAGGATGTGCTCCACCAAAAGGAAGGAATAAGTCTCACAAAGATGAGACTTATAAGGTAGTAGTCAGATAAAGCAAGCAAAAAGTGTATTCTGTGAAACTGAAAAGTAGTTCAAGTTTGACAGTGTGTCAACATTACATCTAAATTGATAAGAGGTTTCCCTGGTGGCACAGCAGGTTTAGCACAGCACTGTGAAGCTGTCCGCAGCCTCTGCAGCACGAGTTCGATCCCTGGACAAGGAGATACCCACATGGCGCAGCAGACCTCTCCTGACTCGCCCGCTGCTCCCCTCAGCAGTGTATTTCAATAAATCCACCCGTTCTGTTCCCCACTCAGTCTCTGGTGACTCCTTTCACCCCCCACACCTCTGGCCTGTAGCCCAGCTCTTGTATGCATAAATAAATAAATCTTTATTAAAAAAAAAAAAAGCGGCTGAGGATCCTTAGGTATTTGAGAAAAGTCTAACATGAAACACGGGGTTCCGGGCAAGAGAAAACCAAAGCAGAGAAACAGACTATACTGAAGACACACCCAAGAAGAAGAAAGCAAACTTCTAGTGATATCCTCGGTAAGATAAAAGAAGATACTATGTGCAAGCATTAAGCACAGAACACTATTTCTAAAATATGACTAAAAAGAAGATGACAGGAAGGTGAGAAGAAATGCCCAGAAAACAATTCAAGAGTGCTTATATTAATAATAATAATGATAATGACTAGGATTCCACAAATGAAAAATGTAGTGGAAGCGTAGGAATATTTGGTTAAGGATATTACCCAGACGAACAGAAGACAGATGAAAATTATGTTGGGGGCTAGGAGGACTAGAAGATAAATTCATGAAGTATAATCCCAAATAAGAAGCTCAGAAAGAAGGAAACAGAAAAAAAATAGAAATTAGAAAAGAACTTCCCAGAAATACAAAACGTGAATTTAACTACAAGGACCACTAGGCATATTGGAGGAAAACAACAGTTTGATCAAGGAAAAATCTCAGAAGACAAAGAATAAAGAGAAGACCCTAAAAGTTTCTTGGAGGGGAGGGGCCCTAGAAGTCTCATCCTTTGTTATGTACAGAGGATGAAGAATCAGAATAGCATGGGACTGGAACAGCAATATCAGAAGTTACAACACAATCCAGCAGTGACTTCTGATTTTTTAGAGACAATTATTTCCAACCTAGAATTCCATATCCAGCAACAAACTCAACAACATGGTGAGGGTGGAATAAGCTATCTTTTGACATGTGTGCGCTCAGAAAACTAACCTCTCACACATCCTTTCTCAGGATACTAGAGGATAACCTCTACCAGGAAGGGCAGAAACCAAGAAAGATGTGGAAGCCACACAATAGAGACTCGGACCCAAGAGAGAAGTCAAGAGTCCCTGGGGTAGGGGCTATGGGCCTCCCAGGATGCAAGCTGGCAGCAGACCACAAAAGCAGCAGTCAGGTCAGATGCAAGTAGGTCAGGGCCCCTGGGAGGGATCTTAAGATGGCAAGAGTGATAATGAACCTGCTGTGTTGGTTGTGTTGTGAAAGAAGACAAGGGAACCTTGGCAGACTTTACAGGCAGATGAGAGCAACCTCTCAACTGGCATGACATTTGTAGATACTGATTATGATTCTGACAAATTCTATGATGACTGTATCAAGATGGTGTGAGGATGGGCCATGTCTATGAGTTAGGAGAGAGGTAAAGAAAGTTAAAGCCAAGAGAGAATAAGAAAATAATAAACTGAGAATAATCGAGAAGTATCCATACAGATCATGTTCCATAGATGCATAGAAATAAACCCAAAGGAAAACAAAGGGGTTGGTGTGAAGTGGGGGAGCTGCTATATCTTTATAATAAGATTTCTGATTCTATGTGTATACATGGCTTAGTTAAAATAAGAATTTTCACCAAGAAGCAACCAACCAACCAAGCCAGTTTTATTAGTGAAACAAGGAAATAAAGGCTTACTTCTCTTTTTTCAAAAAATGCAAGAACTAAATGTTTGTTTTATAGGAACCCAAAAGAGTTTTTGTGATTCTAATATATAAAACCATGCACTTAAACGCAAGGAGATTCAACAGTGCCTGCAGCAGACAGGAGCAGGGAAAAGATGGTGGTATTGGGAGTCCTGAAGGCAGAAACAGCCTTTCTTTTCTCCCAATGCCTAAACCAGAAATGTTAGCAGAGAAAAAATAACTAAGCTTAGCCACAGGGAGTATTCAATGTCTCCCAGGAAACCAAAACAATCACGGACTCAGGCAAACACAGACACCATCCTTACTACATCCTTACTACAGGTGTGGGAATAATTGATAACTCTTTCACAGAGAAGGGGAAGAGTCAGGAGGAAGCAAACCCATTCAGTCTGATCAATTTAGTGCTTCTCTGAATTCAGCTGGTCCATCAATGCCCACAGGAATAAACTGAAAGGCTTGTGCCCCTACCAATACCACCTTCTGATATTTGAGTTTCTAGCAATGATGGCTGAAGTTAGGAGTGTAGTTTCTAGATATTCAGGACTCTGTGGGAATTCACAACACGAGGCTGGACAGGGAGCTCTGGCCCCAAGGATGTACTGAAGTGACTGAAGATGGAATAACAAGAGCAAAGGAGCCTGACTGGTAGACTAAATGTCCTCTCCTCCACCTCTCACAGAGTGACTAGGATGAGAGTCTGAGAGTTTGATTAACAATTACAGTGCAAGAAACAAGCAAAGTCACCAATCACTATGAGATTTCATTTTTTTTATTGAAATGGGAATAAAAAAATCAAGAAGCTTGGGCCTCCCTGGTGGCGCAGCGGTTGAGCGCTGGGTTGCGAAGCTGCCCGCAGCCTCTGCAGCGCCAGTTAGATCCCGGCCGTCGGGTGAGGGTCCCGCATGGCGCGCAGACCTCTCCTGCCGCCCGCTGCTCCCCTCAGCAGTGTACTTAGGTCCTTCTGCCTGCTCTGCTCCCCGCTCTGGCTCTGGTGAATTCTCTCACCCTCCCGCGCTTCTGACTGTACCCAGTGCTTGCATAAATAAATAAATAAATCTTTGAAAAAAAAATCAAGAACCTATCTCTTACAATGGTTTTAAATGTTGAATGAGAAAATAATAATCAACGATCAGTGATTGGATCTATAATAAGCTCTCAACAAATTTTAGTTATCTCTTTACGATCAAGTGACCTTCGTGAAGAAGTAACCACTGGTTACTCCAAGCTGTGTCCAAGAGGTCCCACCCGACATGTAGCCACCATCCATCTGGCCCCGAAAGCAAGAGTTGCCAACTCTACAGCCCTGGGCAGGAAAGGTACAGGGCCCTGGTAGAAATCGCAGATGAACAACACCCGAGGGCTCCTCGGGCACCCAGTGCCAGTCTGCAGATGCGCACTTTCGGGTGAGTGGGTGGGCGAGCAGCAGCGAATCCGGCACTCGCAGGGAATACTCTCCCACCATCTGGGAGTTATGCAACAGTCTTCGTAAACAGATGCAAAATATTCTTTAGGGACAGTGCAGCGCGATCAGGGAGTTAATACAGAAAACAACGGCCCCATTCATGAGACTGAAAGCTTAGCTCGGTGGTTCGCCACCTCTGGAGGTCAGCCTTAGAGAATCTGATGAACCCTTGGCTCCTCTTGGAAAAAATGGGAGCCTAGAAATAAATATTGACTAGATGGGAGCTCGGTGGCAACCACAGCTCCCCAGCCCCGGACGTCGCCAGTGGCAACTCAGTGGAGTCAGTGCAGGCTCAACCCCAAGGCACCTAATTAAGGAAATGAAGGGCGGGCGGGCGGGCGGGGCTGGCACCTTCCTTATTTTGACAAGAAAGGCCGATTCTTGTCAAGCAAACAGGGAAGGGGCGGCGCTCGTCCGGGGGCACCCAGCAAAACAGGGCTCAGCACCTCCCGCCCCGAGAGCAAGTCCAGCCCTCCGACCCCGCAGGCCCCCCAGCCCCCGGGGCCCGGTACCTGGCGGAGCCGCCGCCTGCGCCCGCTCCGCGTCACCGGCCTCCGCGCTCCGCTCCGCCGAGGTCCCGAGCGCCGGGGATTCCGGCCCCTCCCGCGCCGCGGGCTCCGCGGGCGGCGGCGACGAGCCCCGGGCGCACTGGGGCGCGGGGCCCCCGGGGCCGGACGACGCCGACGACGCCGAGTCGTCCGCCGCGCCCGCCGGGCCCCAGTCGTCCCAGAGCCAGGGCGCGTGCGCCTGCTCCAGCAGCCGGCGGCCCAGACGGTAGCGCAGCAGCTCCCGGTAGCACGGTCCGCACTCGTCCCAGCGCGGCTGCTGGTAGCGCTTCATGTACTCGCTCTTGACGCCGCTGCCCGGGGCCATGGTGCCCACGCCGGCCCCGAGTCCGCCGCTCCGCGCCGCCGCCTGCGGGACGCGGACACGACACAGAGGCGGCCCCGCCCTCCGCCGCCGGGCCCGCCGCGCGGTTTAAACCCGGAGCCCCGCCCGGCCGGGGCGGGCGGGGGCGGGGCGCGCGCGGGGGCGGCGGGGCGGGGCGGGGCGGGGCGCGCGCGGGGGCGGGGGCGCGGGCGGGCGGCCCGGGAAGGGGCGGGGCTCGGGAGCCCGGCCCGGAGGCGTCTCACCTCGCGACCCGGTCCCGGGCGGGCGGGGCCCGGGCGGCTCCGGGAAGGGCCCCGGGGCGGAGCGGCGGGGCGGCTGGGGGGGTGGAGGGTCGCGGCCCCGGGGTCTCCGGGGGTCGGGAGCCAGAGGCCCGCGGGAGGCCGGGGACGAGCGGGCGGAGGAGGAGGTCGAGGAGGTGCGGGCGGGTGGCCCCGGGTCCCCAAGCGCCCTCGGGGCCCGGCGTGCGCACCGGAGGAGCGGCCCCCCTTACCTCCTTCCGCCGCGACGGCCTGGCCCTCGCCCCGGCCCCGCGCCCTGCGGGTCCTCGGCGCGCGCGGCGCAGCAGCTCGGAGCGGCCCGCCGTCCCCGCGCGTCCTCCCGAGCAAGATGTCGCCGGCAGCGCGGCGGCCCGCGTGCCTGCGCCAGCCGGGAGACGGAGGCGCCGCCTCAGTCCCGGGGCGCAGACGCCTCCCCCGCGCGCTCCCGGCCCCCGGCCCTCCGCCCCGCTCGGCGCGGGGGCTGCCTCGGCGCCAGCGCGGGGTGCGGGGCGGCCGCGAGCCCGCCAGCCCGGGCCCGGCTCAGGTCCGTGTTCCGGGGGTCAGAGGCGCCAGCGCAGCTGCCCCAGGCCCTGTCGCGGCAGGCAGATAGGGCTGGAGGTGCCCCCCGTCCAGAAAGGATGCAGCCCCGCAGGGTAACGAAACTGCCCTCTTGCTGGCGCGCCTGTGCGGGTCGCGTTCTCCAGAGACAATCTCAGGTGCACACGGAGGCTCCGGGCTCCGGCTTCCTTCCCGGCTCCTTTCACAGCACCTGTTGCTCCGGCTTTAACCCCTTAGTGCAACTCTTTTCTTGCTTACACCCCAAACATTTTTTTAACTATTGATTAAAAGCCACTCCCCCCAAAGATCGGCTGGTACATAAAACCTGGGCAGATTCAGTTAGCTTGTGTCTAAGCATACAATGTTGCCCTAGTTGTCCTTACAGTTACTAAAGCCACCCCATACAAATTCTACCCCCTTTTAAGAAGAAACCTTGATACATTAGTTGCAAAATCATTTGCAAGAAAAAAAAGTGTTGGAAAATCAAAACATTGAGCAGTTGAAAAGCAGGCCCAGACGGGGCAACAAAGTCACATAAGTCCATCCATACATTTGTCTTTGTGTTTAAATCAGAACAGGATGAAAAGGACCTAATCTGACAGCTTTGACAGCTCTTGTAGGCGGAAACACCCTGGGATGTAGTTGACTGGGAGGTTCAGCTGTGCAGCCAGCACTATCTCCTGAACTTCTGTGTGGAGGTAGGGAAACCATCCCTGTGAAGAATCCTCTGTTCTTACAGCACTGAAGGCGGATGGGTGCAGATGACGGTGTCCCATTGTTCTGCAGGTGGAATCAGAACCAACAGGCAGAAATTACAGTATATGGCCATGGCGAAAGCTAAGGCCTTGGAACTAGTTTCTTTAGCGAAAAGGAAATTTTAGAAATGGTTTAAGGAGTTCATAGGAGAAATGCCAGAGAGTAGAAGATGGAGGGCGACCCAGGGGCCAGGCACTATGTGTCTGGCAGACAGCAGAGAGAGCCTTCAGGGAGAGACAGCCCTGGAAAGGCTTCTCCACTGGGGAGATCGAGGCCCATAGAAAGGAAGGTCTGGCCCTGGACTCCTGGACAATCACAGAAAATAGCCAAGCGTTTGCTACATAGGTGACAGAGTGACCATAGATAACCGGGTCTGGCCAGCCTTGGGATGGCAGCCTTGCAAGAGGTGAGATCCTCAAGCAGTTCTCCACCTGCAGGGCACACAGCTGACCGTTCTGACCTTCCTGCTTCCCAGTCTCTCAGGTTGCGCTACCAGTCCCTCAGGATGCCGTCCCATCCTATGTCAATAATCTTGTCCTGATCCAAGGAAAACTGTCTTCGAAGAGCTGCTCAGCATCAACCTCCTTTCTGTCTCAGGTGTTCCTCCCCTTTCTGAGTGTGCTCTGCTCCCACCCCGCTGACCCCGCCCCATGGTGCCCCTCTGTCGCTGCCTCCTCCCATTTCCCTTCTGTTGTCTCTCTCCTTTCCTCCCTTCTCCTCCTCATTCCCTCCCTCGTCGCCCCCTCTCCCTTTCCAGACATGCTCAGGAGTCCCCTGTCCACTCTGTAAATCCACTTCCCGATGCACAAGCTTCAATTACTAGACATTATCCCAGACTCTCTTGCAGCCACAGTGCAGTACAGTTTAAGTCACAAGACCTGAACTCTGCTAATCAGACACTTCTGCCCCGGACTTGGAGTCAGGCTCTCTTGGTGCATAGAACCAAGGGCCAGGAGGCTCTCTCTATAGCTGAAATGCCAGTTTCAAGACTGAGTCCCAGAGCAGCAATGGCCATGTTGCTTCTAGAAAAGCCAGCAGAGGGCCTCCCCGGTGGCGCAGCGGTTGAGCACTGGGTTGCGAAGCTGCCCGCAGCCTCTGCAGCGCTGGTTTGCTCCCCGGCCGCCCGCTGCTCCCCCCAGCAGTGTACCTCGGTCCTTCTGCCTGCTCTGCTCCCCGCTCTGGCTCTGGTGAATTCTCTCACCCTCCTGCGCTTCTGACTGTACCCAGTGCATGTATAAATAAATAAATAAATAAATAAATAAATAAATAAATAAATAAATAAATAAATAAATAAATCTTTTAAAAAAAAAGAAAGAAAGAAAGAAAAGCCAGCAGAATCCAGAGCTAACAGGATGCAAGGGGCATATCTAGTAGCCAGAGAGTGGTGGTCTCCGTTGGTGTCTTCCTCTCAGAGCTCCTGTTTTCAGCTCTTCCAGAGATTCTGAGCCACCTATACATTTAAATGCATGCTTTTTCTCCTCAAGTTAGCAGAGTAGGTTTTTCTGATGAGAAACTATGTGCTTTGTTTAGTAGACTGGGGTGGGCTGACTCCTTCCTCCTCTCTGGCAGACCTGCTCCCTTAGCAGCTTCCCTTCCTCCTCCTCTTGTACAAACTGTGGATTCCCATTATTTTCTCACCTCACTCATCACACCCTCACTGCACAAGGGTCATGTGCAGCCATTACCCCCTGTGCCCCATGGCACCAGCACCTCCACGTCAGCGCCCTCTCTGCAGCCCTGCCATCCTCCAGCTACCAGCCCTTGCCCCCTTGGGCATGGCTTACCAGCAGTTCAGACTCACCACTCCAGTCTACCCTTCTCCGTGCCCATCCCTTCCTCTGTATTCCCAAATCTCATGGTATCCTGCCCTCCCAGTCACAGAGTGCCCTACATGCAAACATTTGCTAGTGCATCAGGTCTATCTGAGGGCATCTCATACATCCATTCCCTCCCTTATCACCTTGGTTGGAGCTGACCTACCACAGTGCCCAGGAAGAAGCACTCTCACAGCCAGCAAGACCCCTCATGGCCCTGCAGAGAGCAAGAAACTATTCCAAACGATGGGTCTGCAGGCAGGGACAGGCCTAACTGAGTCACTACACCAGGAGGGCCCCCCCTCCCAGCAAAGGCCAGACCTGTAGCCCAGGAGGGAGCTGTCAGAGCCACGGGCTGACCCAAGGCTGCTAACTGAGAGCAGAGAAACAGTCCAAAGGAGTTAAAAATCCTCAGGTATAGCTCAGGGTAATTTCACTGCCCTCTTTCCTGTCTTGTCTACAAAGGAAATAGCCAGTAGCTATCCTACAGGAAAATGCATTTTGATGGTTCCTGAGAAACAGAAACTTATTTTTCACAGTTGTAGAGGCTGGAGGTCCAAGATCAAGGTGCCAGCATGGCCAGGTTTTGGCCTGAGTCTCCTTCCTCATTCATAGGTGCTGCCTTCTCACTGTGTCCTCTCTAGGGGCACTTTTACAAGGGGGGTGTCCCATTCATGGGGGTCCCACCCTCATGGGGTGGGGCACAAGCATTCAGACCATAGAGCCCCTGCGTCCTCTGCCTTCTGTGCTGCTTTTTACCTACCAGAGCTGCTCCCAAGCGGCCCCACAAGCGCCCTCTCTCCCCTCTTCCTCATTCACTCCCTTGCCCCACTCCTTCCTTTCTCCTTGACAACTACCACAGTGGTCTTCGCTCTGTCTCCCCCCAGAACAATCTCCTTTCCACTGTTGGCCCCATCTAACAAAGAAGCAAAAATACCCCCCATTACCTCAACTACTAGATAATACGCCACCCAATCCAGAAAGGCAGTGGGATTACCATGGCAATTTGTAGGACATGGAATTCTCTGTGCAGTCTCATCTGGCTGCGCTGGTAATGCCTGCTTTGAAAGACTGCCCGGGTTGCCACCATCCCTGCTGTCTTTCTCTGGGAAAAATGTTGTGCCCGGGTTGCCTGTTGGTGGGCATTTCTGGGCCTTCCTGCATATGCTCCATCAATGTCCACACCCCCCCCCCAACCATGAAAGTCAGGCTAGTAATCTTTTCTGAGGCTTCACAATTTTCACAAAAGGATAGATATTTGACAGATCGCACAGCTAAATAGCATAGAAGCTCTATACTCCAAGTCTTATCAGCAGAGAAGAGTGCCTCTTAGATTCAGGAACGAAGCTATAGCTTTCTTGAAGGATTGCCTAATGAGTATGTGCTCTCCCCGTTGCTCTAAATCTTCCCCTTAGATACTAGTCAATGCATTAGAAAACGGCATTTCAGAAGCATTGCTCTGCCCCCTCACAGAATTGCTTTTCCTTGGTGTGAGTACATGGACTTCCTTAATGCTGTGCAAGAAACAGCTAGAAGATATTCTGTTCAGCTCACCATTCCCCTTGCCCAAATACCCCCTTGTGAAAACCGATGGAAGAAATTT